GGGGGGGGGGGAAAATCCTACTCAACTTTTTGCAAGCGCGTGTGTCACACTTGTGAAGAGAAAAGCAAACAGACTGACAATCCTACCGTTTTGCAACAAATAGAGATATAATTTTTTTCTTTTTTTTTTCCTCTCTGCTGATATGTCGCATACAACTTCACAACGGGGTAACCCACCAGAACCATTTCGTTGCTACGAAGGAAGTCACTCGGGAAAGTACCTCTCACCCCCGAGTGAACAGATCAGCATACCCCCTCGCATCGAAGGTGTGACGTTCTTCCTGGTTGCTCGCATCTGACTGAGGCACAATTTGGGAACGAAAAAAAAAGCGAAAAAAATAATCTTCTCAGATTAACCTCCGTCACAATGAAGTTTCTCATTTTTAATGATGAAACGCCGGAGAAAGTACTGGCCTGGGGCGGCAAAAGCGGCAGAAGAGCCAGAAGCTGCAAGGAGCACCGGGGAGAGGGTTGCTCTACACGAGTGTATGGAAGGGGGTAACACACCGCTGGGGGTAACAATACATGTACTGAAGAAGCTCATTGGATTGACTACCTTCCAGTTGAAGCTCCACCGTATGTGAGAAACTCACCCACGAGACGGTTTTCTCAGGAATAAGCAGCCGGGTTGATCTTCACCCCGATGTCATACCAGCACAGTGATGTACTCCCACCGGTGACGATGTTTTATTCTTCATCCTCCATGGGGGTAAAAAAGGGGCCGTAATGCTTAGCGAACTGGGAAGGGGTAGCATATGAATTGAATTGTTCATCACACTGTAGTGCCGCTACTATACGTGCGAAAAGGTGAAGCGTCCAAATATTTGCATGTGTGTGCAGCAGTTCTTGGAAACGTACCTTCTAGTCCCCTTGCGGCAAGAATGGCGCAACGGAGGCGCGATGGTGACGAAGAAGTCAGCGTGAAAGATTCATGCTCACCACGCGACCCACTTTTGCGAAGCCTCCCTGACAGCAAGCACATATGTACATAGCAACTCCCACTTAATAATCTGTCAGAGTTACCACCTTCTCGATATGTTCGTTACGTTACGTGTAGTGTCCGTTGGGGCCCCGTTATGAGAAGGGTGGGCGGAGTACAACTCATGGGTGTGTAATCACATCTTAGTGACTCTTACACCGGATGAGCAATATCAACTTATCTGCCACCTGGCTACTTATATATGTTTAGCAACTTTCGGAATACCACTCATAGTTGCAGTTCTGTGCAAGGCAGGGTAGACATAACGAAACGTAGCAAGGATTTTTTTTTTTTTTTTTTTTTTCAACAATGTTGTTCACACTTCAGTAAGGCCTCCTTATTATTTTATTTTTTTTTTTTTCTACACCTTCCATTTTCCAATGTTGAAATTTGTTTCCTTTTTTCATACTTTACGTCACTTGACTTCCATGCAATGTTGCCCCCCTGCTGATAAGAAAGAAGCCACTTCGTGTGTTATCTGTGAATGTGTGTGGGGGGGATAATAAACATAGGCGCACCAGTTTGTACACATTGGGATTTTTTTTTTTTTTTTCGGTGTTCCACATTTTGGTAATTTTAAGCAGCTTTCTTCGTCACTTGGCCCTTTTCATTTTACCCCTCCCGCACAAATTTACAGTTTGTAAAAATTGGTAGACACATATGAAAAGTGGGTAGACTAACATAGGCGAGCTGCATAGCCTCAGTCTTTCTGAATCTGAAGGGGGTATTACATCCATCAGAATTTCCCTCGTGTGTGTAAATAAACACTGTTATCCTTTGGAGTTCACCCCGGCTCTGTCGCTTTTTTAATCTCTTTCACCCTCTCTCCCTGTCTGTCAGTCTCTTTCTCCCTCTGTTTTATTTCCACTCCAAACAAGCACAACGATGAGTCGCCTAACGAATGGATACCTTAGAAAAAGGGATCCCCCGGAAGAAGAACATCAAAAAGACGTGCTCATCGTTGGAGCAAACACAGGAGGCCTCCTCCTCTCTCTCGACTTGGCACGAAAAAATGTAAACCACTTGGTGATAAACTCGTGCGACAGAAATAGGGAAGGAATAAACGGAGAAGATATAAGTGAGCAATATTTACTCTACCCCAGAACGTTGGAAATTTTTCATGATTTAAATATCCTCTCAGAGGTACGGAACAGAAGCTTAAAACTGACAGGAGTTAGCTTCTATGTTGGAAATAGATTAATAAATCAAACGGATAAGACTTTCTTTCAAAATTGCAATGGATCGACATCATACATGCTAAGTATAAGCAAAACCACACTGAATAATATCCTGCGAAGAAAAGTGGCTTCCATCAATTCGGACGCCGTGCAGGATGGCACCATCCTGTGGGGGCTTAGTCAGAACAGTCCCCCCACGTCCACAGGGGGAAACATATGCCGTAAAGATAAGGGCGCCGCTGATCTGCACGCACATTTGGACCATAAACAGCGGAAACAACACGTAAAAGGGAGAAGAAGGAATGGAAGGACAAGGAGAAATCAAAGCGGAAGCTGGAGCGACGTGAAGAAGCTGTACACTCTGCCCTCCCTCCTTAAGAGAAGACAAGGCAAAGCGAGCGGTCACCTGGTCGGGGAAAAGAAAAGAGAAAAAAAATTCACCCCGAGAGGAAGCCAACACAGCTCGTCCAGCAGCAGCTGTAGCGAACACGAGGAAAAATACACAACTTGTTTGCAAGCAGACTCAGAAAATTCGTTGGACAGATACAGAATTCATAGCTCATCCAGTGATACAGTCTCCAGTTTTTCGACCACGATGCAGGGCGATCACTCTGGGAATAGCACCTGCGAAAATGGTTTCTTTCAACGTTGCGTGAGGTGCCCTCTAAACGGACTCCCTACTGAGGGTCATAGGAAAGCTACGCCTACGGTGCATGTGCGGTTGGTAGAGGACACCAAAAGGGGGACGAAACAGCACACAGGTAACTACATACAAGTGCCCCAGGATCGTAAAAAACAATACAGCCAAATACACAGTACTATTGAGCCTATAGTGGGAAAAAGACTGTGGAGGAGAGGGTTTTTTTTTGGGGGGCAAAAGGACACGAATGGCGCGGTGGAGAAAAATGCACACAACGACTTATCCGTGGAAAGCCCTGCAACGAATGCCCCAACGAGGGTTCCTTCAGCTCGCGATACCCACCCAAGTGAGGATCGACCAGGTGAGGACCTGCCAAAGAAACCCTTGAACTGCTCAATTAGGAGCAAATTCATAGTCGGCGTCGATGGGAGAAAATCCTCAATCAGAAAACTAGCAAACATAAAAATGGAAGAGAAGACAAGCCAGCCAATCGAGTACATATCTGTGGATGTCTGCGCCAAATGGAACATCGACATGAGTCACTACAATTTGACCCTCGTTCAGTCGGAGCATGGCTTCACCACATGCTTCCCCATTCTCACTGACATGAGAAATATTTACAAGCAAAATTTTTACTGCAATGACCAGGCATTCGGGCATTTCATTGAACGAACCAAGGAGGAGTATAGCGTCAAAGGGGACCTCCCTGAGAGTGCATCTTCCCTTAAAAGGGTGCACCCTGTTGGGAGAGTGCTTCCTTCGTTTGGGGGGAAACCTACAGAAGACCGGGGCGCAACGAAGCATCCACGTAAACCATGTCAACCATGTCCACCGACAAATGGACTCGCCGGGACGACTGCCAAGGAGGCTCCTCACCGGAGCGGCAGCGAGAGCGGGATCGATCCAGGGGGGGATGAAGACTGGGCCAATTGGGGAGATGGCCCCACCGCAGAGGGGGGATCGAAAAGGGAATCGAAAAGGAATCCACAGGGAGGCGCGCAAGATGAACCTGTACAGACTCCAATCGGAAAACATCCACGTGACCGCCAGAAACGGGAACGAAAAGCGACGATTACAGACTTGCAGAGGCTAGGTGACGATCCAACTGCACCCTCCCAATATGAAGATAAACCCGATTTAATTACACCAACTGGTGCACACGCAGGTAAATCAGCCGAGAATGGTGTTGACCCGATTGGACCCCCTTCTAGGGGCACATCAGAGTGCCTATCCTCGGGGGAACCGCAAAATGGTCACACCGAACGAGGGAACAGCCAATCGAGCGGAGGCACTTCACCTGAGGTGTCTCAGAACTCCGTCCCGTCAGAAGAAGTTTCCATTGAAGAGGACCCCCCTGGATGGGGCCAAAATGGAGCACCTCAGGGGCACCCCGTTGAGCGCCATGAGGTTAGGGATAAGACTGATGGGGACAAATGGAGGGAAAACCACGTGGCAGGTATGGACAGGAGCCATCCATCCAAGCCAAACTATGATAATCAAATTGAGGGGAGAGATGCATCTGCATGGGGACGCCACCCCAATGCTGCGGGACACTCAGAGGGGAGCAGGACGCGGTCACAGAGCAGTGATAGCATCGTAGGAGAAGAACAACACGACGAGTGTCCTGTAGGAGAAGATACAAACGATGGGAATGCTTTCCCAAAGGGGGAGGAAGATAAATGTGCGAACGGAGAAGTCAGGGGGGCAATTTTCCAAGGTGAGAAACTGTGGGGAAGTCCCAGGGAAGATGGCCCCGAAATGTGTGCCACGAATGGAACTCCCCCCAAAAGGAAGCGGCACATCAGGAGCGATCACGAGAAACACCAATCGAGCGATAATTGCAGCGTTCATTCAACGGATCATTCGAAACACCACCCCAGTGACAACACCGCCAACTTGTTCTCCGACGCAGTGAGCAACAACTCAGGGGAAACCGCCCCACGCAATTCCGCGCTTAGCATACGCAGGGGAGGCTACAACTGGCATTTGACCATATGCAGGAGAGCAAACAGATACTCGCCTGAAGAACTCATCTGTCGAATGAAACAGACAAACAAATTGCATCACATGGAAGTGATCCACTTGATTGAAAAAATCTTCCCAGGTGCAAAAATATTTTATATATACAATTTGAAGAGAGGAATTCACCGAGACCAAATGTGCCAGGAGTTCTATAGACAGGGGATTATCCTAGCAGGGGAGTCCAACTGCCTGTATAACCCCATGTTTAGCATAAGCATCAATCTGACAGTGCATGATGTATACTGCATTGGGTGGAAATTAAAATATCTCATTGATTACAACTCATCGCCCATCCTACTGGATGAATACCAGAAGGAGAGACAATACATTTCTCAGAAGGTCTTATCATGGAGTAGTGAAATGATTCATTTTGTTTTTTTATTGAATAATATCGCAAGTTACTATTTCGCTTTATTCCTGAATTGCTGTTCCAGGACGATTAGCAGGTTCACTTCCACTTCCAACGTTTTGGACAGGCTTTACAAAAAGACGTTTATGTTGCAGAGCGACTACTACAGATTAGGCCTTGTACACACCTCAGCTCAACTCACAAGCAGGCACTTCATGTGTGGAGATCGCCCAAGGAACTGCGTCCTCAGATGTGTCACCCTGTATAGTAACACTCATCAGCAAAATAACACTGTTCGTCTGTATGACTACCTGGGGTGCCATGCACATACCTTAATTTTGTGCATAGGCCTAATGAACCCCTCCCGAATTTGTGCTTGCAAAATGGGCCTCCCAAAGAGGTGCCCCCATATTATGAACCCGTTCTCCTCCAAAGGGTGGGCAGGAAGCTCCCACCATGGTTGCTCCCACCATGGTTGCTCCCACCACGATGCGGACGCCTTTCTGAGACTGACAAAAATTGGAAGATTGACTTACGGCGCCATGGCCAGGGGGAGACATAGCTCAGCGCTGAGCATTCTCTGGGTTGTGTGCGGGGGAGAAAAAAACGACTTCGCACGCGGAAACTCTATCGTCAGTGCGGGTACCGACACGAACGGGGGTATCACCAGGAATGGAAATGCTCTTTCGGCAATCCTTTCTGTTGTATGCCCCCAGATGATGCACAGAGCCACCATCCAAAGTAGGAACTCCCCACTAAATTGCCTTCTTACCAAAATAAGATCCAACAACAACCCGGGCAGACAAACCATCCTCTACGATTTCATGAGCGACTTCCAGAGGCAGCTAAACATCAAGCTAGGTGCGCCCTGCGTTCCCACCGATTTGTGCAGATCCAGATCAGCCATGTACATTTTTGTTCGTCCCGACATGCACATAACGCACATGAATTATGTGAACGACGAGAATAAGGTTACCGCCTTCATCGATTACGTGTACAGATTTTACGGCTAGGGGGTGGGCAAGCAGAGGGGGCACACCACTGCCGGCGTCATCGCAGAGACGAAGCATATATGGGGCCAATTTTTCTGAAATTTCATTCCCTTTTTATGCCCGCATAATGGCTTCGGAGCTGATTTGCGTACGCCTCCTAACAAGCGAGGGAGAACTCTTTTTTTTTTCTGCCCCTACTAGTTGGCGGCCCTGCACATGCGTAGCTAAGGCGACGTCGTAATTTGTTACACCCCTCTTGGAAGGAAACACCCCGCATGGAGAATACCGGCCCCACGATTATCCTCCATCGAGGTGTTAAAATTCAAGATGAGTGCGCGAAAAAATGAAGAATAGCACATTTTTCACGTCTGATTTTTTTTCTGCGCAGACCATCATTTAGCCTCTTTACACACACATATAAAAACGTTTAGTTATTTTTAAGTAAAGATAATCTGACAAAACAAGATAAAAAGGGATATTACAAAAAAGGGTTGAATAAACAGATAAGTTGCGCACAGGGGTACACATTCTTCGCGTACGCGTGGCGCTGCTGTCCATACAACAGAGGGAAAAGGATTGGAAAGTCTTAAAAGATTAATTGGAGTTACACTTTCCCTTTTTTTTTCACCCCATTTTTAGTTACACATAATTTTTAATCTTTTCCATCAGTTTCTTTTTATTTTTCGTTTTTAAATTTTCCTTGTACTTTTCCTTATTTTTTTTTTCTCTGTACATGTACTTTAGCCTGCTCTTCGCGTATTCCTTGGTGTATTTTTTTATATGAGGCTGCCACGTTTCGGACAGCTTCTTGGTGGAGTTCGCGGAGATGGATCCTTCCGACTCGCAGCTGGAGTATGCCGTCAATTCGCTTTCTTCGTCACAGCGCACCTCGTCATCGCTTGCCTCATCACCGGTCGCTTCGCTGCTGATGCCCTTCGCGCGATCCACCCGCTGCGCTCCTTTTTCTGAAGCGCCACCACACACTTCATCGTTTCGTTGGCTCGAGTCGATTTGCCCCTCCGTCTCTTCCTCACCGCGAAGGGGGGGATCATCATGAAGGTCTTCCCCCTCATCCTGGGTCTTCTCCTCCGTACAACTGCACTTCCCATTTGTAGGCGCCTTTTCACCCTTCATGGGGCTACTACTACCCCCCCTGCCTTTGATCTCCTCCTCTTCCTTCTTATCTTCCGGCTGATATGTGGCTACCCCTTCTGCACTCTCCATGCCATTGTCATCCAATCCGTCCGATCTTTTCTCCAGCTTGTCACTTGACTCTTGCCTTTTCGCGTCGCTCTCGTAGGCGTCTTTGTACTTCCCTTCAGATGAGGAGGGGTCCTCCCGCCGGGTGTCCGAGCTCCGGGGGGTTTCCCCCTGAGTGCTCTCACTAACGGTGCTTGGGCGATTTGCTTCACTGCTGTGTCTTCCTACACTACGATGGCTTCCATCACTTTGGTCACCGCCACTTTCGGCATCTTCGCCATTTCCACCAGTTTCGCCGCTTTCGTTGCCCCCATCGCTCCCGTCGCTCCTACCGCTACACTTCAGCTGCTCAGAGCAAGGGGGGACCGAGTCTGAGCCATCATTTTGCAGGACGCCCATCAAGGCATGCTCATCAGAGCTGGAAATGAAATTCTCGTCCACCACAATTTTGTCACTACTCAGCAAAATGACATCTTCATAAACAGGGTAATCTTCAATTTTGATTTTGTACTTCCTATAAAAGTGATTAACGACACCTCTGACGTCACGATCGAAGTACATCTTCGCATTCGCATGCTGCAGAGAGACGATTTGTGGAAAATCGATAACAGTTATCTTCTCATCATCGTCAATCAGAATGTTAAATTCATTAAAGTCTCCATGAATTATATTCGCTTTGGCAAATTTAATGATGGTGTTTATTAGAACGTCGATTATCTTAAAGGGGTTGCTAATTTTTACGTGTGAGAGGGGGTATCCATTTACATACGACATGAGAACCATGTGTCTGTTTAGGTCATAGGGCTTCGGAACTGGGAAGTTATTTTCATACAAAGCTTTTAAGTAAGCATACTCCTTGGTGGCAGCTATTTTGGATAAGTATAGCCAATTTCGGAAATTCTTCTTCCCATAATAATCCCTATTATTTTTGATGGTTCTAAATGATATTCTACCTAGCCTGTGAATTTTTAGACACAACAGATTTCCGCTCGTATCTTTACATATGTATATGTCTGATTCTTTCCCAACTCCTATTTGATTGCCAACACTTTTTAGGATGCCCCTATTTATAAATGCTCTTAGGGCTAGGAAGTCATACCCTAAGTAGGTTAGCTTGTACCCATCGTACTTCTTATTTTCATGACTGATCAGCTTGTTCTTGAGCAACTTCTTCAGCACACTGGTTATGCCTTCCTTCCTCAAATTTGCTATGCTCGCTATTAACGAAACGGGCAGGTACTCGTGGTTCCGCATGCCCATTTCTATCGCCGTCAGCACTCGGTGCTCATTTTTCGACAGGAAGCAGAAGCACGAGATGTCCAGCTTCATTGTTCTCGGGGGGGGGTCCGATACACATGCGCACTTCGCGTTGGCAGGAAGTATTCTCCGGCGCGAAATTCGCGGAGACGCTATTCGTTCGTTCGTTCTTTCGCTTTGTTTTTTTTTTTTTTTTGCTCCTCTTCCTCAGTGCTTCGCACTTTGGGTCTACTCCATCTTACTATATTGGCACGCGTGAACGTTTCTTTTTTTTTCTCTTTTTTTCTTTTTCTGGTTAGGAAAATCCTCCTAAGAATGTTCCTCCCCCTTTTTCTATGTGACCGCTAAACCACCATGGCCTTTCTCTCTCTCCTGTTTGTTCTCGTATTTTTAATAATTTCCCACAAAGCATTCGCAGTTTGGCCCACCGTTACGTAGACGTGTTCCTGAGGGCACAGCTTTACAAGGTCGCCGGGGATGTGCATACGAGGGCCTCTTCGTTTCCTTACCCGGACACATACACGCAAGAGGGGACGCTGTGCAGGTGGAAAAACGCCTTTAAAGAAACATTTCAGCGTTCTCCAGGGAACACTTCTTCGATGATTATATTTCTTTCCCCTTTTTTTGCCAACCCTTCGTGGAAAAATCACGAGGCTTCCAGAAGGCAAAGGCGCAGAAAACGTAGGAAGCCACCTTTGGTTAAAAATGTATCTACAACGTATAGCCGATTGGTGATGCTTCCCGCGGGGGGGTGGAAACAGCAACTTCACAAAATGTTGTTCTGTTCCTACTAAAATTGGTCGCCTACGGAATGTAGTTGCGTACAGTTTGGAACTTTTCTTTTAACTTTTTCCTAATTCGCAATGTGTTGATATAAATTTCGTTCTCCCTCAAACCGTTGCCTATATTTTTTTCTTTTTTTTTTTTCCAACGGCAGGGCTTAATATATTTTTTTTTTTTCCTTCAACCCTTGGATTTAATATTTTTTTTTTTTTTTGACGTTTCTTTCTTTTCCTATACTATATTGAGAAAGGTTATACAAATTTTATTTTGAAGCTTCCTTTGCAAGGCACAACAAAAAATAAAAGGAAAAGAACTGTTTTCTTTTATCAGTTTATTCGTTTTCCCCTCTTCCGTTTTTCATTCCCTTTTAATCCCTCAGATGGCGCCTTGCGGAGTGTTTTTTCATTACGTGCTACTTTTTTTTTCGAAGATGAAGCAATTTTGAAAAAAGGCGGCCTGGCTGTTAGCACATGCTTAGCATACTATGCGTAAAAATTATGCTGCTTTCATATGCGTACTCTATGCATGGACAAAGCTACCACATGTTCAGCTCGTTCCCATTTTTATTTTCCTTTTTCTGTATGGCAACACGGAAGATGAAGGAGAATATGAGATGAGGCCTAATTGGGCCCCGGGTAATTTTGCTTTCCTTTTGGCTTTATCTTCAGGTTGGTTATAAGCCTACTATACCACAAGGCAGGCCTTTTTTTCATTTCCCCTTTTTTGGTTCAGTTCGGCAGTTTTTTTTAACATCATTTGGTCCATTCAACAGTTTTTTACCGCCCCCTTTGGTCGAGGCGCATTTTACCCCTCTTCCTTTTTTCAGTTCCCTACCTTCATTTTTTCCCCTCTGTCGTTTCCTCTTTTTTTCGTTTTTTTTTCCCCTTTTCCCCTCTGTATGAATCATCTCATCCTCGTCTTAATGATGAAAAGTTCCTGCCTTCTTTTTTCCAAAGAGGATATGAAAAAAAAATTATATTTCCAAAAAAAAAAAAAAAAAAATTGCCTGAACATAACGTTAAAAAAAGCCAAAAAAAGCAAAAGAAAATATTGAACAAGCAATAATTTTTTTTTTTATGTCTTCAAAAATACCTAAAAGCGAAATAAACGACGATACAAAAGCATTGTATGTATGATGTTACGTGGCGCATAACGCTTAGGGGCTTACACAAATATATTTCCATATATATTCGCGTAGGCTAACGTAGGTTGTACGTGTTACTCATATTTTTGTACCAATTGCCAATAGCGAAGCGAAAATGCGCGAGGGGAGCTTCACGCTGCTTGCGCGAAACGGATAAGCTTTTAACGAGTAGATGGTGAAAAACCCAGTGCGAAAGTTGGAAACGGGAAATAGGGCAGGAGAAAATATCATTTGTGAGTTGTGGTCTGCGAATTGTGACCTCCGAGTTGTGATTTACCACTTCTGACATGCCACTTGTCACATTTCATTTGCTTTTCCAGGCCGCACTCCCCAGCTGCGCTGCGAACTGCGAAGCCAACGGACAACCCTGCTAGGTTTACAAACACAAAAGCGAAGCAAAAGAAGCCAACTTCCCAACAAATGAACAACAAGTGAGGCAGAACAAAAGAGAAGGAGAAAATCAATCCAAGCGAAGCAGAACAGAAACAAAATGTACTTAAGAATAATTTAACTAAACCTGTAGCCCGCTCCATTATAGTTCTTTCCCACACGTCAATTAACGAGAAAAGGAAAAAAAAAAAAAAAAA